CTGTGATGTTGAAAATTTCATCAATACCACAAAGGAAAAGCAGCAACTGTGCAGTATCTATTATGTCTGTGCTCTCATCTAAAGTGATTGAGAGCCACTTGAATTTATCTGCAGTATTCAAAAGTTTTTTATACATGTTTTCAGCAATGGCATCTATTCTTCGAACAATAGTTTTCTGTGACAATGAAATTTCTTCTACTTTTAACTTTACTACTGGACACACAGTATCAATTACATCAATCATACATTCTTTCAGAAATTCTGCATCAGAAAATGGCTTATGTTTTGTGATCTTATTTGCCAATATAAAACTTGCCTTTGTTGCAAGGTCTTGTGTAGATGTACATTTAAAAAGTATGCTTTGTTGGCATTTCAGTTTTTTAACCATGTCTATTGCTTTGTTTTGCAATCTTGTGTGAAAAAGTTTGGGCTGAAGTTTTGACTGAAAATGTCTTTTCAAATTATATTCCTTGAATACTATACATGTATCATGGCAAATCAAGCACTTTTGAATCATTTTCTATGAAGATATACTTTTCAGTGCATTCCTTCTTAAAAATACGGCATTCAGTCAACTTTACGTCTTTTAGAACTCATTATGTGTGACTGCCTTTTCATTGTTTTAGAATCTAACTTACTAAAAAATAGAATCAAATTTTAAAAACACTGCAAAATGGTGACTCACTAAATCTTGTTTACAAATATCCTGCAAAATGATACTTAAACTAAAATTCAAATCAAAGCAGAATTATTACAAATGTTTCTTCTGAGAAGTTTTTATACAATTTTTAAATACCTGGAAACTTTTTTATTAAATTTGTAAATATTATAAAAGTAATAGAGGGCCACATTAAAAGCTTTGGCGGGCTGGATGTGGTCCATGGGCCGTAATTTTCCCACCCCTGTTCTAAAATCTTTCCCAAATATATCAAGGTTGCTGAGCAGTTCCAACAGATCCTTGTGGCGTACTTTGTCAAACACTTTTGTGTAGTCTATAAAGCATAGGTACACATCCTTCTGCATTTTTATTGCTCTTTCTGATAACATTCTGAGCATGAATATTGCATTCCTTGTTCTGGTGGCTTTAATGAACCTTCACTGTTCTTATGCTATTTCTGGCTTGATTCTTCTGCATGCTTTATTCATCAGAATATGGATGTTGAGTTTTGTTACATGGCTCATTAGGCTGATTGTTCATTGGAGTTCACATTCGTTTGTGCCTGGTTTCTTAGGCATAGCTATGAAAATAGATCTGCTGAGATCTCCTGGTATTTCTCCACTGATGTAAATTTCATTTATTATTTCTGTGATCTTGTCTATACCAAAGTCATCTAAGGCCGTCAGCATTTCTGTTACAATTTCATCTAGCCTGCCACCTTGTTTCTGTTCAATTTGGCCAGTGCAGCTTCTACTTCAGTTTTTAGAATTCCAGGTTCATCAGTAGTTCTGTGTATTACTGGTTGTTCTCTTTCATCATGGAAGAGTTCTGCAATATACTTACTCCAGCATTGAATAATTTTTTCCTTCTCTAATATAAATGTTCCATCCTTTGATTTTAAGCAGCCTGTTGATAAGCCTGTCTTCTTTCCTGTTAGTTGCCTTATTTGCTTATGCATATCTCCTTTGTTGGTGGTACTCAATCTCTCTATTTCTGCACATTTTTTGTTTAGCCACTGTTCTTTAGCCTGACTGCATTTGATTCTTATTTCTTGTATAATTTTCTGTATTCTGTTCTGTATCTTGGCAAAGTTTTCTGTCTCCTTTTCATCATGTCAAGAATCTCATCAGTCATCCATTCGTTTTTTTCTTTATCATCCATTCTTCTTTGGAATAATATTGTTTGCTGATGTCACTAAAGTGTCTCTTAGTGCATCCCATTTTGAGTTTCCATTGTGTCCCTCATGTCTTCATTTCACTTTGTCTATATATTTTTCTTTCAGTTACAGGTCACTCAGGAGTTTGTCATATTGCAATTTAGGTGTTACATTAGGCTTCTTCAGTTACTGCAGGTTCACTCTTAGTTTACATATAACAGGGCGATGATTGCTTCTCCAGTTAGCACTTGGGTAGGTTTTGCAGTGAACCATTGCATTCCTAAATCTTTTATTGATAGTTATGTAGTCAATTTGGTTTTTAGTTCCTCCTCCTGGGCTCCTTCAGGTTCATAATCATCTCGGATGTTCTTGGAACCATGTGTTGGCTATTACCTGGTCATTGGCTGTGCACCATTGGATCCATTTTTTGTTCATTGTGGGTTCCTAGTCTGAATTTTCAGGCTATATCCCCTGCCCTCTCTCTGCCTACTTTGGCATTTAGGTCTTCCATGATAATAATGACTTCATGTGATTTGTAAAGAGCCTTGGCATTGTCAAACATGAAGTAGAAACCTTTGTCTAGTAGTTCTCAATTCTATTAGTTGTTGCAACAAGATACCACCACTATTTGACCTTCTCATTTTCCTCTAGACTGATACTCATTTCATTTGAAAAAGAAACATTAATCAGTGAGTATGCGTATTACTCCATCTTGAACAAGATAATGTCTGTGAAATGAAGTCATGATAACTTAGTTTGAATGACATTTAGAATAGTGATGCAGTCATTACTTTTATTATCCTGACTTGGCATCTCAGCTTCAGTCACTTCTTCACAAAACTATTCTGTAAGTTTATCTTTTTAAAAGCTAATTATTTCAGAATTTTCATTTCATATATTTTTCCAATAATACTTTTTCTCTTGCCAGGCAGAGACATGGAAGATGTAGGAAATAAATAACTTTGATTGCATGATTTAATCATATTTATTTCATTTTGCTTTTATACTGTTGACTTTAAAACTTTCATATGGATGGCATGAATGGTGCCAAATTCATTCAGAAATATCTAAACGGTCAGCTGTATACAAACACTTTCTAAGATAAATGGTTAAAACAGCTTTTGAGTGATTGAAGCTTGTGGATTTTGGTGAGGACAATCCTTCTTCGAATATTGTAGACTGACACTACAGAATCACAAAGAACTGTACTAGGTAACAGAGACCACATCACTTAAGAAATTTGAACAACTGCAATAACTAATATGTATAGCATATGTAACTCAAAAAGAAAACTGATATAATCAAGATGCTGACATTCCACACTACTTCAAATAAAAGGCTAGGAAACACTCATCAATATGATATACAACTACTGAACTTGAGAAACCTATTTTTCTGTAAAATTCTTTTAAGAGAAAGATTTTATAAATTTCAACCAACAACAATAGTGGCTGCTCAATCAATGAATGATAAATGTTTCCTTATAAGGAAACTACTAATATTACTATTACCATTATAATTCATTTAAAGTGAGTAATTAAAAATTTTGTAGAAAAAGTTTTACTATTTCATAAATTTTAAACTATCTTATACTGATGTGCCCAAATTCATAATGATATGTGGCGCTCATTGGCAGACTGGGTAAAAAATTTATAGTGGGAAAACTTGTAAAGGGGTTCAGTCAAAAGGACTTATTTAATCCCAAAACACTTCATCAAACAAGGAACTGAGGATATCTATTATCTACCGAAAAAAATTATATCATCAAAGATGCCTTATTTAAATCTTCCTAGCATCTAAACAATATTTTTCTTTTTCTTAGTTTTGACTTTTTCCAATTATTTCTAAAGTGATGGACCATCACTTTGCAACCCGCCAGGAAATTTCCTGGTATCCAAGTGGTCCAGTCTACCACTAGTGGCACCATCTTATTTTGACATAATGGAAATCCCCAGATTTCTAACATTTATACTCTGACATCTAGTGAATCAGTGTGAACACTGACTAAACTGCTCATGGCAAGGTGGTGCAAATGATCAGAATTCAAACAGAGCCTGATAGTGGATGCAAAATAGATGGTATATTCCATTTCTCACTCAGTCTACAGTATCATATGTTTACTGTCCACTATGGACAGTGCAGAAGCTAAACATGAATGCTTAATCATTGTAACTACAGGTATCTGATTAGAATTGTTTGTGGTCACAGAAAAGAAACACTGGTTCAAATCATGCAATGTAGAAGTTACCAGTGACATATTCACATTCAATGCAAGATATACCAGATGCATATCCAAGTCAATTCAATGTCTTTTAGCTTCCATAGGATATAGGAGAAGAATACTCACCAGGTTGCCCCTGTTAAGACCATAACACCAGACACAGTACCTCACCTGGACCCAGGATGTCACTAACTGAATTTTGAGGACTGCCAACATATAGCATGTTAAATTTATAGTTGTTTCAGTCTAATGATATAGCTCAGATAAAGTACAATCTTCATGAGACCAAGATACAATGTAAAACTGGCTGTGGTTCTATAATATTGTGAAGTGTGTTCACATGGCATGGGTTTAGTCCACTGGTCTGCCTAAACATATTGTTGACCAGTGGGCACAACATTACATTGTTTCATGATTATTTGTACCTATTCATGGACTCTAGGTCCTCACCAACAATGATTGGTTATTACAGCAGGATAATGTACATTTTTACTACCAGACCCAAGTTGTCCAGAATTAAGGAATATTCTGGAAACTTCCAATGAACAGTGGTCACTAAGTTTACCCAGCATGAGCCCAATTATATATATATATATATATATATATATATATATATATAATAATGGAATCTCCTGTCATTTTCAAATTATAAGGGTCTAGTAGCTCAGTTCTTAGAACCAAACAGCCAAACCACTTTTACACGTAATTTGATTTTAATGGTGATGGCTAGTACAAAACCAACCACACTTTTCAGAAAAACCAAATACAGAGAATTGGTGCACATAGTGTACCACAAGGTCTCCAAACAACCCCCTCAGGTTTTGAATTCAGAGTTTTCTTCTCCCAGATCTAATAATAGATCATTGCAAAAGTTTGTACCTGATTAGAAAATTTTTAAAAAATGGAAATCAGGCACAAACTTTTCCAATACTTGTATCATATTTATCCAATTCTTTTTTATGCAGATGATTTTGTGCTGCTTGCAAAAGATGTAACAAATCCTCCATTTATGAATCAAAGACTTGAAACAGCTTTTTTGAAGATAAAATTTTATCAGCAAAAAACAAAAGTTACAAGGTTAGTAATGATTTTTATTAATATTTTTTCTTTCTTTTCTTAATTTTACTGTTCATTTTTGTTTCAAACAAAAGTTAATCAGTTAATTCTTATTATGCCCATGAAGAAATGGAGTTGAGTCATCAGGTAGATATCCAGTTATTTAGAATAAAGTCTAAATTAGCAATTCATAAAACAGAATTGAAAACCGGATGTAAATGTTGATCACTTTCATATTGATAATATTGGGGAATGTATGTCTTGTCACTGGGTCACCATAATGATAAGCAAGAGAAAATGAATGACAGTAATGTTGTACAACTGATATAGAGTATCTGATTTTTTATTTATAATATTTTTAATGTATTTTTTTTATATATATTTATAATATTTTGTCATTATTTATTCATAACAACTGACATATGCTAATATTGTTTAATTTTCTTTCTTAGAAGAATCCCTCTCTATTAACTATTAATTTATTAACTAGTATTTATTTCATCTTCATTGTAGTTGCTTTTAAAAATAGATTTTCATGTAATAAAGATGTAAGGAATGGCTATATGAAAGGGGTGCTGAAAAATCTTCAGCCTGATCTTCCTCCCTAAATTTGACCAAATTCAATTTTTATTTTTTGAAAGGGCATCTTGGTTGGGCTGAAGATTTTTCAGTATCTTCTCATATGGTTAGATTTGAACGCAAGTGAAACTATAGTGCATGGAGCTTAGGGGTTAAAATAAACAGTTGATTTACCCATACCAGGAAGAATAATGAAGGATGATAATAATGAGGAAATACATGGATAATTTTAACAAAATATGATATGGGATTTATTCCTGAATTTACATGTTTGAAGTAGTGTCAGTAACTCATTTCAGGAAAATAAATAAAAATTCTTAAAGTCTATAATTTTAACATATTGTCATGAAGAGGACATGATTAACTGATTTGACACAAAATAATATTAAAAAGTGTTTAAGGCAAAGGTAAAAAATTTTGTTGCTCACCAAAGGAATATATGGCTGTCATACATTCAAAAGTAATTGAAGGGAGATAGTTTGAAATACTTAGCTTATCTTGATTGTTGAGAGAAAATTCTTTGAAGTGCCACATGCTGTTTAGAAGCCAACAATATAATTGGTAAGTAATTTTACACTGGTGAGAACTTCAATGCTGATCACAATGAACAAAAATGAAACCTGTTGCAGGTGGTATATTAGCCTTCAAACATATATTGAATGATGGAAGACAACAACAAACAAAATGAAAACTCAAGTAAAAATAAATATATTGCCAAGTTTATTTTCATTAATGAAAATGCATCAACAAAAATAAAGTTACAGTGCACTAGGCAAAAAATATCTCTGCATGTTTATGTAGAGTGTGAGAAGAGTATTATTCTGATAAGGACAGTTTTGTAGTCATTGAAAACTGTTATCCTGAAGAGACAATTTATCACACATCATTGCTGCTGGCAATGATGGCTGGCTGGAACTGGAGGCTGCTAGTGCTGTTGCTGATGACTGGAGGTGGAGCTGCTGATGGCTGGCTGAAACTGCAGACCAGCTGGCTGCTGCTGCTGCTGCTGCTGTTGGAACATACTCATCATATATTATTTTTTTATCTAACATGGAAATACATTTGTGGCACAAGGCCATAGAGGTGGGGAAAGGCTGGTCGTCACTGATTATCCTAAACCTACTTATTCCCAGTAATCACCACCACTAACTCCCACTGCACTAATCTAGTCAGCATGAACCAGAAGTCCTCCTTGTCCAGTAAGGACATGTTGAACTTCTAGTGTCCATCCAATTTAGCCACAAATGAGTTCTCACTAACATTCTATACAGGTAGCTGGCCACTTAAGAGCCCATGTCCACATCTCACACCAAGAGGGTGTCTTCAGCCATTGGTGCAAGTATCTGTACCACAATCATTGGTTGTCATTTCATCCACAGACAATAGATGATGGATTTTGCCATGATGTGTTGACCTAAGTGGCTGAAACAGAGTCTTATCATCTCCAATGATATGGATAAAAAGTTCATGGAGTAACATCTTTTAACCCAATAACAAAAATAAAATTAAACAAAATATTCAAGCTAAAGTAATAACTGTATTAATAAGACTTGTCCACCCCAAAGAAAAACAAGAGTGGCTGCTGTATTCTGCTGATAAGTAGAATCAAGTAGCTCACCCACTAAATGCAGGGGAGGCACAAAATAAATTACAGAGTAGGAAAATATCAAAGGCTGATCCAGTTACGATAAAAAGGTGGGTAAAAACAAATTGGAGAAGTTGGGAATCTTGACAAGGATCATAACAAAAGAGAGTGCTAGGAACAGGCTAGGAATGATAATCACTTGCATTAACTAGGTGAACAAAAAACGCCTAGCTTAAACAAAGATGGGGTCTGCCAAATCCACTCTGAAAGCCACTTCATCTAGAGACAGCACATTCCGGATCAGTTGCCACATAAGTGAAAACTCAAGGTTGCTGAGGTAATCCACCACTGGTACCCAGAATCAGAAAGAATGCAACTCGGTCACTGACAAATTGAGCTGCCCACAGAGCAGGTCCAATGCAACCCCCTCCACTAATTCCTGATACAATTTCTTCCTAGGCCATGAAAGGTCACTGGACTGAGAAGTAGCCAGCAAGGCATTTTGATACATGGTGAAGAATTCAGACTTATTCTAGTGTTTATGACAGCACTCAAGCCGAGAAATGGGAGGAGTGATGGTAACACCTGGGAAGGTATCCCTAACATTTCTCACCCACAGCGAATATTCTGTCAATGCACGGTGTAGGAAAACCAAACTTGAGGCATATCGGTGACTCACAAAGTGTGGCATTCCCAGCCCCACCCCATGACATGGATGCTGGATACAGGCTGTTATGTGGACCTTAGGCTTGCCTCCCCACACCTACGATAGGGAGAAGGGCAAACATTCACCTTCTGACAGTCCTTGCAGAGAGGGAGTATTGACATTCAGTAAAGGATGACAGGAAAGATGTATATGCAGCATACCTCAGCCCTACCCTTTAAGGACAACTGCTTTTGGAGTCAAGTCTGGATCAACACTTCTACCTTTGCCAGTCCCTCTGTCCAGTTCTTCTCCAGCTGAGGATCTGGCCTGAGCCACACTTCACAAATGGCCTTGTGACTTTCTTGTACTGCAGCATGACATGAAAATGGATATGTCATTGGTGCTCTTGGTAAGGAAAGTGATTAGGCGTAACATTGATGACAGCAGGGTTGGTTTCTTTGTTTAGTGTGTTCAAGATCATAGTTAGGTTCAGAGGATAATTCTAGAGTGGATTAGCTATTGGTGGGTTTGACATACATCCTTCTTCATGGTAGAAATCAACACCTGTGAGGTGTTTGATGAACTGGCAGTTGTGTGATGCCAAGATGTTAAAGCTGAACTGCCTGGTAAAGTAGGTTGGTTAATCAAGATCACAGTGGTGGGTTGACTTGTTATGAGGTGCATTGGTTGCTGAAGTTATAAAGGTGTTAACGAGGGAGACTGGGAGTGGATAATGAAGGTTGATTGAGTAGAATGTTTCTGATGGATTCTGATCAAATGTGGTATCAACAAAATGGGGTTATGGTAGTGACAAGAGGAGCAATCATGGCAGTGACAGTGATACCTGCATGCCCACAAGTGGCATTTTGCTCTGCTACTGTGTTTATTGTTTAAGCAGGGCTTTCTTTTAAGCAAATCGAGTAGCACCTAGGGTCTGTGATTAGCTATTGCATTTTATTGCTTGAATTTGTTTTGTAGACCAGATGTGATACTCAGAGCCCCCGTACAGAAAACAATTTTTTTATTTTGTGTTTTGCTTTCTTAGCATTCACATCCAGCCAACATGTAGAGTCAGAAAGAGATCTAACTGCAGCAGAGTATAACATGACTTAATACTTAAAAATATTTAAGATATTTATTTAGCAATTTTTGGATTAGATATTTTAAATTTATTAGTCATATCAAAATAAATTGTTCTATTCCAATAACCTTCATTTTCTTTAACATCTCTTGTTTTAACATTTACTATTTCTAAAATAATAATTCATTATTTCACAAATCTAATTTATTTATTTATAGTGAATTGCACTTATAATATATAATAAATTAAAAAATCTAATGGTTATTAAGGTAAAATTTATATAAATGCAATCATTGTCTTAAAAATTAAAAAAATTACAAAAATAAAATAAAAGCTGATATTTCAAAATATTATTTTATTTAAGTACCAGCACCACTTTTTAAGAAAAGCAAATGTCTTTTAATTTATACTCTGATCTGCTGTTGTGTGCATTTGTTTATAAGCAATTTAGAATTTTTACCTTAGCTTTTACTGATTTTTGTTGAATTTCACTTGATTTTGAAGAAAATGAAGAAAAATAGAAACCATAATATGCAGGGAGAAGAACATTTCCAGAGGCCATGAAAGTTCAAAAAAGATGATGAGGCAATTATTTCCTGTGATGCACAAAGAATTCACTTGGTTGCTAATTTGATTTCAAATTATTTCTACCTTTGTTGATATATTCATAAGACACAGGTAAAATATAATTTTAATGATTTTATATTATTTGTTATTATCTTTGCTAACCTTTTTTAAGATAGTTGCTTAAAATAAAAAATACAATATAAAATAGGTACTTTTTCTATTTAATTTGCAATATTTTTAGATGTGATACTATTACAACTCAATGATTATAACAGTATAGAATATCTATTATATCATCTTATATTATAATTATATCATTTTTGATATTTTTATGAAAAGAATTATGAACTATACATATGTACATGTTAATGCAAGCTCACTTAACACAGATCAACTTCAATTCTTTCATTAGTGGTATAAGGAAAAAATAACTTGAAATAATCTAGTAAATAATTTAAACATTTTGGTAAATATGACAGGTGAGAATATTGATTAAAGATATTCCTGAATATATTTTCAATTTGTAGATATTTATGCCTCTTTATTATTACAGGTTTTTACAAGGATAAAAATACACTGATTACAACAACATTTATGTATAAAAGAAATAACCAAATTAAAGCAACCATGCTATGGTTAAACTTCAAATAAACCACTTTTTCTTTGTTTTTAATGACAGAAAAATCTTCTATCCTTCAAGGCAGTTGTGACAAGCTTCATCCTATATGTCAAATTATCATATTTCTGTGTTATCTTATATCTTGTTCATCTATTATTAAAGGTTAGATACAAAAGCCAATGCAAAGTTGGTTATGTGAAAATGATATGGAATTTTAAACTAGTGTGTTCACATTTCATGAAAAAAAGTAAAGTTAGTTTTTTGTATTTATTCATGAATTGTGAAGTAAACACCAACTACAATTAATGCTGTTGCATACAATTTCTTTTTAAACAAAACTCTACAAGCAATAATGAATTTTTTAAAAAATAGGTGTTCATTGAAATGAACAGTAAAAAAATGCTCTTTTGCTTATTTTTAATCCATTTTTTCTCTTACTTTTGCAAGAGAAAAATGTCTTCTATTTAAAAGAGGACAGGTGAAAATGGCTTCTATATTCTTTGTTTTAATATACCAGAAAAATTAATTCACTCTCTATTCCACCTGTTCTTCTTTAGCTATCTAATTTTTCTTTTGATCCTAAGAACCATACTCACTCATTTATTTTTTCTTATTTGAATCTATTAAGTGTGAGTAAGCAGAAGCCAATACTTACTTCCACTGACACTTCAAATTGTTTTTTGTTTTTTTGTAAAAATCACATTGTTTCACAATATAACTTTCCTTGAATTTTTTCTTATGCATATCTGGAGATCAGTACAATCTTTACAAGTTCAATACTGAGTGCTCTAGTTTGAAATAGAAATTCACATCCAAATGTTTGGTAAGTCAATCTCACATTGACCAGATGTCAGTCCTTAAAAGACTCACTTGGACTAATTAAGAATTATGATATCAACCCTTGAATTGATTTTATTAAAAAGAAAAGCTTATTTTTTAGTATGGTATTTTATTTATCCTAAATGAGAAAGGATGAATGATTTTCACTAATCTATCAGGAGGAAATATCAGATTCTCTATCCTATATAAATGATACAGCATTTTCACATGAGTCCATATTTATTTCAGAGTTGAAGAAATTTTATAAATTTTATAAATATTGGACTAGTAAAAAGATACATTATCTGGCTTTCAAATCAGTTTTCTTTCTCAAAGTAAATTTAAGCTATTAGGATTTTATCAATACAGTATGAGAAAAAAACCTAATACCTAACAAATTTACTGAACTGTACTGTGGAGCTACACCAGAAATTACCTGAACAAAAGTTGTTGTTTGGAATTATCTATTAAAATTTCTTAATGGCATTTTCATCATTGAAAAAATGCCTGTAAGAAAAATATATCTGAAATTAAATTGTTTTCTCTTTTTTTCATGAGTCTTGACAACTAAGCAAAATTAGACTGAATTCAGAATTCAACATTAGACTAAACTGTCTTGAATTTAATCTTGTATTATATCCTTGAGGTTATGATTATTTTGCATTCATATTTTCCCACAGAGCATTCCTTATTTGTCTTCACCAGTATCAGAATGATTTGATGTAGAATTTTAAAAAATGAGCATGTTTTTTTGTTTATTTTTTTTTTCTGTGTATGCAGGATATAAATTATGCATGTTATTGCATGTATGTGTGCATCCACTTTCCTGCAACTTCTTGACTGCTTTTGTGTGTACAATTCTTTATCCACCAATTAAATGAGATTATTAGAGTAATTGATTAATGCTGATCACTTTAAAATAATGAGCCAATAAAATTTTTTTGATATAATAGATGAGACTGTTTCTGAGGTATATTGGGGTCATTATATTCATGAAGAACATTGGTTTTATCCTGTTGGCTTTAGTTTTAAAGATATTGCTGAAATACATTTTTTGTATCTGTACACAATAATATTAATTGGATTACTGTGTTACCAGTGCATGAATATTTCAACAAAACTATATTTATTATGCTATTTAGGCTATTGGTAATCAAACAATGTTGAATAAATGTATCACTTTTATTTAAGTCTTCTGATTGTATATGAATAATTAAAATGTGATATTTACTTACAACATGCTACTCTTTTAACAATGAACAAAGAAGGGGCAGGACATTTTCCAGTAGTATCCTCTTTATTACAAATGATTAATGAAAAATTATAAAATAAAGATATAATTTCCAATCAAATTTCTCACTAAAAGTAAACTAGTAAAATATATAATTTAAGCTATTCAACATAATGTACTTTACTTCATTTGAAGGAAGCTTCCCTGATGACTTCCTTTTGTGAGTTTTCTGAGTGCAATCATGTATAAGGCTCCAACTGTAATTGGACATCATGTGAGCATTCCATCAGCCTTGTTATTACTCCTTCATTGTCTTGATGCTTTAGTGGAAATGCTCTCCCTGTTCTTCTCTTACATCACCAAGGTTTTCAGGGAATATGTCTAAATAGCTAAACAGGTAGTGGATTTTGATACTCATTCTTGTTCCTAGATCTTGGAGGTTTTTTACCTTCACTTTGACTAGTTCCTGGTAGTTATCCACTTTCTTTTTGCCCAGGAAGCCTTTCACAATTATGACAAAAGAATTCCACACAGCAGCCTTAATCTCAGTCATGTGAGAGACAAAATTTTCATTGCAATCAGTTTTCTTATTTGTGTCCCATCAAAATTTCCTGCTTTCAGTTTCTCATTACTCAGACCAGGAAATTCTGAGCAGATATAACTGAAGCATGTCCCATCTTGATCTAATGCCTTGATAAACTGTTTCATTAGGCCCAACTTGATATGTAGTGAGGGCAGGATGATGAGATCATGGCTAACCAGTAGTTCATTTAAGGCATTATTTGTCCTCACAAGATCTTCACAAATTGGCCAATTGTTGATCATTGGCTCTGCTGTCCTATAGACAAAGGAAACATGGGTACTTAATAAAACCACCATTGCTGCCCTAACAAAAAGTTAACCATTTTAAAATCCACATATATCATCCACTGATGTTCATCATAACACAGTGTTTTGTAGAATATAATCTTTACACTCATGTAGTGTTCCTTCAAGGTCACTAATTGGTCAATTGGGATACAAGAAAACTTGCCACCACTGTATAATATAATACACACTTTAAACTTGTTTAGAGCTGCCAATAAATAAATGCTACTTAGCTGGATTGTACTTAGGCAGTGCCATTGCTAAAAGAAGACTTTGGATGTTATTGCAAAACAGTAAAATAACAAACAAGTTCTTTGTCTCTGTTACAGTAAAATGTTATCTTAGCTTCAGTGTCAAAAACACAATGCTCTCTGAGATGGGGGGCTAAAATTTCAGTGACTCTTTTGACAAAGTCAGATTTCTAACCAAGTCATTCAGATCTCCTTGTGTGAAAAGCTTTCATTTTGCAGTCTGAAAAACACCCAAATATGAATGATAAATATTACTACTGCAGTTGCTGCTTCTGTCAGAAGCCTTATCCATTGCTTCGGTATAGTGTCATCAAAATCAGGCAAAGAAGTAAAAACTGGAACAGGAACACCACTACAATGTGGAACTGGCCGTCTTGTCATGATGATTTTTGGGCTCTCACCACACCATTGGTAACTCAAACATCATTGACTTGACTTTACCTTGGGTCCACAAGTGAAGTTTGTCAATACAATTCTTAAAAACTTTGTGAAGTGGCTATAACTTATCTAGATCCACTCTCTTCACACCAAAGTAAGCTTAATATGCTCTTTTGGTGAAATCTCAAACATTGAAATGATGCTCTTTTACCCTATATTCACCACATATGTAGTAGAAAATGCAAGGGTCACTGTGGCAATGTCTATGCTTAGAATTCATGTTTAAAGTTTTGTATACTTGAAATATAGAGACACAAGGTCACCAGCAGAGCCTAATACACAAATCATATCTGCAAGACTGGAACCATCAGATTGGCTGGAGCTCTCTGGCATCTATACTGTCATTTATATGTGTAACAAGAAAAATGGTATTAAGAGATTCTCCTTAATATCTAAAGAATTATACAATTTTAAAGAATGTAAACTGTTACATTCCAGGCTGATATGATAAACAAAGAATATAAAATAAAAGAACCATTGTATTTTAAATACAAACAATATTTATTTTTTGTCTCACCTTACTTGATGCAGGTAGAGGAAAAAGAATTAAAATCAATCCATGTGTGTGAGTTTAAAAGGCAGTCATCTTGTTTCTCTCCCTGCCCAGAAGTATTCTGTCCAGAAGTAATTTTCTGTACTCAAAGTAAAAATTCTCTTTGTTGGTAGAGTTATTTCCCCTAACATAAGTGATGATTAGAGAGAGAAAATCTAGCATGTTC